AGCAGGAGAGGGAGCAAAGGTGGGAAGGGGGAGCTGCTGTTGCTGCTTGGGAAAATACAGCAGGGATTACAATGTGTTACACTCACATGTGAGTTCATCATCCTAAATCTGACCCTGAATGAATAGGGTTAAAGGTGTATTCGTTTTGCTACAGGGTCACTCATTGCAGAAGCTGCATTCTGGTAGCTTATGTCTGTAGCCTCTGGGATCGATAAATCCGTCTCGTCCATCTGCGATCCAAGTGACTTGCTCAAAATAACATAAAAAGCCTGAAGCAGAGGAAACCCGAGTTCCAGGCTAGCCCCTAACCATAGCATCCTTCTTGAATAATATTATCAATAATTATTAATGCTTCGTGTTTATATATAATACTTTCCATCTGATGAGCTCACTTCAGTTTTCAAACTGGAAGAAAAATGAGGCCTTCAATCAAACCTGGGAGTTATTGGAAATATTATCTGACTGACTGAACAAAACAGAACAGAAATCAAATGAGCAAGGTCACAGCAAGGACCCGATTCCCGGAAGTACTAAGCACACATCTTTCAGCCAAAAGTATTTGGGAGATGCAGATTCTCACCACTTCTGAGTACTAAACCTCTCCTCCAGTGCCTTAAGATCCTTTCAAGGGTGCTCTGGGGTGCCATGCAATATTAGCATGGCATGCAATATAAACCCAGAGATTTCAAATCACAGAATCCACAGTGTTAAAACCACTCTGATCTGTTGTGGTCTTTTTGAGTTCTTTGCAACAGAAAAATTGCTCTTATTATTTTTCCAGAGTCAAAAAATGAGGGAAAATGAAGAGCTGGCATTTTCCAAGGGTTGCCTTGAGCCTAATGAGGTTAAAAACAACTCCTCTAGTTTGAAGGAGACCTACAAGAAGAACCATGGAAGGTCACTGCTAAAATAAAAATGCCAACATGCACAAATGCTGGCCTGTCTAAGGACTTAGAGATATATCATTATCAGTTACCCCCAGGCTGAGTAAAGGAAATGGAAATAATGTCACCAATGTGACTGCATGTTAACAAAAGCTAATGCTGACTTTTATTGTAATCACACTATCTAGTTTATTCCACAGTTGAAAATTAAAATCCAGAGTTATAGCCAATCACCCAAATTCTAGCAACTGAGTACAAATAATTTAAATATTCCTTAAAAATATATACATTTCTTCTATATTCGTCAAAAATCATCAGGGCAATGTTATACAAAGACATGTAATTCAACACTTTTTTCAGTGAATGCCTTTGATTTTGTGATGTCCTTCATTTTCTGTTTTGTTAAGATGGAAAGAAAGAGTACAAGCCACGAACAGGATAATGGACAAGAGAAGAAGGGACCTTGAGAAGTCATTTAGTCCAACCCCATGCCCTATGCTCCAAAGCATTCTTGACACATGTTTGTCTAACCTGTTCTT